AAGTTCCCAAGGTTGAGAAACACTGTGTTAGACTGACTGAGAGAGGGTTAAAACAATGCCAAGGAATCCATATATTTTTCCATGATGTTCAGATGAAATCTTCCTTGCAATTTAGCCCTATTGTTTCTTTTTCCATTTTCTGGAACAACGAACAATTCTCCCTTGTCTCGTACGTGACAAACCTTCAGCTACTTAAAGATGTCTCCCCACAGTCTTCTCAGGCAATTTTTCCTTCTATGCCTTTTAAAATCTTGACTTGCTCCAGTTTGTCAATGACCTTCCTAAAATGGGTATAATATTCTGGGTGTGGTCTAACCCACACAGAGTAGAGAAAAACAATGACTTCTTTTGATCTGGACACTACACTTCTGTTGAGGCAGCCTAAGATCACATTTCCACACAACACACGCACATACACATACACACACATCTTTATTACGGCCTCTGACCGGAATAGAAAAATCAACAGTGGATAGAACAGAATAAAACTGTTCACGGCTAGTTCGTCGATGTGATCAAAGTATGCCTAGTTTTGCAGGCAGCGTGACAAAGGTTGGCCACGTTCAGAGACAGAATCATACTGGCTTGATAATACCAACTGTAGATAGAATTAATCAGAATTGCCTGGGTTCTTTATTAAATGGGGAGCGATGAGATGGGCCCTTGAATCCTCATAAACATTACAATATAGCAAGACATAGACTCTGGTTTGAATAAAGCTGTTTGATTTTTTTTTTGTAGTTACCTCACCCTATTGGCCTGAGTTCAGTTTGTGGTCCACCAAGACACCCAGATCCTTTACATCTGCGTTGCTGCCCAGTGTGGTCTCCCAGTATGGTCCTACTCAAACATAGGATTTTCCATTTGTCTCGGCTGAAATTAATATTCCTGGTTTATGTCCCTTGTTCCAGCTGGTCAAGATCCTTCTCAATCTTGATACAGTCCTGCAAGGTATCTTGTTTTTCTCTCGATCTTTCTGTAGTCTGCGCATTTGAGAGTCATATTTTCTAACCCTCAGCCAAGTCCTTTATAAATACAGTTGTGTGAAAAAGAAAGTACACCCTCTTTGAGTTCTATGGTTTTATGTATCAGGATATAATAAAAACCATCTGGTCCTTAGCAATTCTCAG